TTTATCTTTTGGATTTCTAATTGTTGTTTTTGTATGATTTCTAGTTGTGAATTTATTTTGGCATTTTGTTCCTGTATTATTTTCCAGAATTCTTCCATTTTTTGTGTGTATTTTCCATGAATTTGTCTCCCTTTTCCTTGAGTTTGTCTATTTTTTCCTCATTTTCCTCAGCTTTTTGCTTCAACTCTTGGATAGCTCTGAAGATTACAGATTTGAATTCCCTATCAGGTAGTTCTAGTGCCTTTTCTTCTACTGGACAGTCATCTGGTGTTTTATTATGGACGCCTACTGGAACCATCCTGTTCTGTTTTTTATATGTTTTGATATTTTCTGCTGTCTTCGGGACATTCAGTAGTTATTTTCCTCATTTATTGGTTGTAGATTTGTTTGTTTTGTCCTGCTTTTTTTTTTATTTGGTTATATCTGAGCAGGCAGGCTGTGCATTCTTTTTTGTTTGCTCTTCTGTGTGGATGATACTTTTCACCTCCTTGTCCAATGTGCAGGGTTGGTCGCTCAGCTATGGTGCAGCAGGGCAGGTCCAGATGAAACGGAGTTCTTGGAATGGGTTGTTTGTGGCACATAGTAGGGCCGACAGGGTGGGCCAGGAATCAATGCAGGGCAGGTTCCAGTAGGCTGTTCCTGTGCTGCCTGTGCGTGTGATGTTCAGTGCACCATGCAGGTAAGCAGGAAGGAGGGGGGAGATTGCGATGTGTGGAACTAAGATGGGCATAGGAAAGAGGAGTGAGAGGAGAGCGAAATAGGGGGCAAAAGAAAACAAACACACAAACAAAAAAAAAGAGTGCTAAGGGAGCTTGCCACTGGAGTGGAGAGTTGAGAGACCAAGAAATGGAGAAAAACAAAAAGAAAAAGAAAATGGGTAAAATAAAATAAATAAATAAAAATTAGAAAAAAGAAAAGAAAAGCCCCCAGGGATCCCACTGGTTCAGCGACAAAGACTGGGGAAGTGGCTCCCAGGTCACAAATTACAGCCTGGCTAGAAGGGGTATAGGTGTCACACAGCACCAGGTATTCAGAACACAGGAAGAAAAGGTAAGTATAGAGAGATGAGTAACTGAGAAATGAAGAAGACAAAAAGGAAAAAGAGAGAAAATAAAACAAAAAAGAACAAAAACTAACAAACAAACAAAAAGAAATGCCCCCAGGGATCCCACTATGTAGCTGTGCAGAATGAAGAAGTAGCTCCCAAGCCGTGCAGTACAGCCTGGCTAGAAGGGGTTCTCAAGCTGAGAAAAAGAAAACAAACAAGATATCAAGACAGAACAAATCAAAGTAAACAAACCTAAAAAAAGCCCTGGGGATTCCACCAGACTGGCGGTGCAGGCTGGGAGGCAGTTCCACAGTTGAGCAGCATTTTATAGCCTTTCAGGAAGAAGCAAAATGGCACATGGAGCCAGGTATTTGAGAGAAAGGAGGTGGAGGTGGTGAGAGGAATGGAGAAACCAAAAGAAGCAGAAAAAACACCACCAGCAACAAGAAAATGGTACTCAGGGAGACAGCCAGTGTGGACGAGTGGAATCCAAGAGGTACAGGGCTGAAGCTTGTGCCTCTTGGCCAAGAGACTGTGGCTGCAGGAAGCAGCGGAGGCCAAGTGGGGGTGAAGAAGGGCAGAGAGTGGGAAAGCGTATATCTCTGGTTACCGGTTGTTCTGTCTTCTGCTGGAAGCTCTGTGAAGCTGCTTTCCCATAATCCTTGTTCGCTGATCTCCGACAGGAGTCCAAGATGGCGAATCCGTGCTGCGTTACTGATAGGGGACCTCTGCATGTATCTCTCCTCACTCTCTGTTCTTTGTCAGTTTCTGATTCCATTTGGTGCTTGGCTGAGTTCTTTGTCTCTTCATCTGATGCTTAGGGTCTCAGGATTGATATTTGTCTCTTTTTGACTTGGTTTTTTGGGTCTTTGCTGTGGAGGGACGGTGTGGTGCTTTTGTCTCTAGCACCATGTTGGCTGGAAGTCCTGTTTTGCAGATTCTTTTGCCAACTGGCTTCAGGCTAAATTCTCACAAAGGGAGATACTTGAAGGGATATTTGAATGTGGAGAGAGGGAAGACATACTCTCTTCCTGTTTTTGGATGTTATGAGCATTTCTCCAACATCAGAGAAATACCACCGTTATGTTTTTCAACACTCTTAGCACCAGCAATGTGTGAAACATCAGAGGTCAGATGAACAGCCACATGACACCCTTTCAGTCATCCCAGCACTGGCCACATGGTGCTCTGTCAGAGATCCAAGCACCAACTACTTCCTTAGAGGTCTGAGCCCCACCTAGGTCATGGTGATACTTTTGAGGTTCAAGAACCATGTGGCATCCCCTCAAGAATCCTTTCTACAGTTGCATGGCATCTTCTTGGGAATCCTAGAACCAGCTGTGTAGTAGCATCATGCTCCTAGATTCTGAGAATAGCACTCCTTTTCCTATTTCCCCCTGGGCCTAGGTTTGGTAGTGTGTTCCTACAGTTAGTAATATCTGGGTTACCTCACTATTCTCTTAGCTTTCTAACACTTATGTAACAAATCCCCTGCAGTAAACCCCCTCTATTTGAAATACCTAGCAAGGTTTCTGTTTTTCTGCCTGGATACAGACTGATACGGGATTCCCCTCTACCCCTACTCTCTCAGTACCTTGTATTTTGATCCAAAGAGTAATCAGTAAATGGTTGATGGGTGTAGTAAATGGAGTAATTGCAACAGCAGATTAATATCAATGCATATTTTTTCACCTGTCATATTTAAAACAAGCTAATTACTAAATATTTTGCCCAATTCATTTTTATACTTTCACTTAATAATATGCCTTGGAAATCTTCCTGTAGCAGTCCATCCATGTTATTTTATAGCTGCATAAAACTTTATCAATTGGATGTACTGTAATTAAATGATTTCTGAAGAAGAACCCTTTCGTGGTTTCCATTTTTTTAAAAAACATTTACCAAAAAAAAAAAAAACTTCACTTAAACATATTTACATATAAATATTGGATAATTATGTGTGTGTGTGTGTGTGTGTGTGTGTGTCTATGAAGTATTAGCAGGATAAATACACAGTAGTGGAATTCCTAGCTCTAAGGAGTTATGCAACTGAGATTCTAATAAGTAATACCAGCTTCTTCTATAGGTGTACTGCATTAGTATTAAATGGCTACCACTAGAGAATGGCTCATGACAAAATAAAACTTGTACAATTATACATTTTTATGGTACAACTGAAGTCCCTAAGTGGTGCAAATGGTTTTCCCTCAACTGTTAACCTAAAGGTTGGTGGTTCAAACCCACTCAGTGATACCATGGAAGATAGGTGTGGTGATCTGTTTCCATTAAGATCACGGTCAAGAAAACCCTATGAAGCAGTTCTACTTCATAACACGCGGGGTCTCATGAGTTGAAATTGACTCTACGGCAACTAACAACATCAACAAAAATGACCCAACTGGCAAAGAATAGCTATTAAAGCAATTCTCACTCCTATTTTTTCTTCACTGGTGAGCCATTTACAAATCAGGGAGGAATGATATGAAACCCAACAAGCAAACTACTCAAGCTAAAGAGCATAACCAACAACAGCTCCAGGAAATGGGAGTTCTCTCAGGAGTCTGCGGTTTTATAGGACGATTTCTTTGTTAATTATTTTATGGGTCTTGCAGAGATGCCTAGAGCAACAAAATAACTGAACTCACCAGTAGGCAAATCAGACAACATATCAGAGGAAGCTCTACTCAGCAACTCTACAAAATTCTGCCACCTGTCCAAGAAAAGAAAACAGTAGTTTTAATGCTAAACACATAACAATATTGGCCATCAATATCATTGCCCTAGAAGAATGTGCAATATCATTGCCCTAGAAGAATGTGCAATGAATCTTTAAGTTTATACCAAGAAGTTTATATTAAAGAAGGTTTTTGATACCTGTATCATTCTGGGTTCAATGTAGGAAACAAACTGCTTTAGGTATTTCCATTAGAAAGGATTTTAATATAGGGAATTAAGTGCACACAAAATAATTGCAAGGGCTGGAGGGCTAGAGGTTGGGGGCTGCTGCTAGGTTCATATTCAGACCTCCACAAATGTGGTCTAGAGATCAGGGACTTGCGGGCATCTGGCTGATGTTTCACTTGCCCCTAATCATGAAGCTGGTGACTAGGCAGTACAAACACTAATGCCTGCCAGGGTAAGGAGTCACTATACTACTGCAAAATAAATGAAGAAATGAAATCTCCCCCTCGCCCACTCTGCCTTCCAAATCTCATGTATTTGCATTTCATTGATAGAACTTAAATCGATTCCAGAACCTCAATGCCAAAGGAGTCTGGGAAATGTACCTTTTTAATTTGGGAGCAAAAAAATTGGTCCTTTGTGAAGTTTTATTTTTTCCAAATAAAATCCATCATATCTTTTAAAAAAATATATATATATATTTGCTATATTAGCAAAGTGCAGTTTCTGTTGCTAGTAACATAACTGTGATAAGATTTGTTTTCTCCTTCTTGCCCATCAAAATTCAAGCAAAAATAAAGAGCAACTTGTGGAATATATTTTGAATTTTCTAGAAGAGTTGTATTTTCATGTGACTTTTTTTTTTAACCTTCCTCCAGTATGGGAAGTATTGCATCACAGAAAAGGACATAGAAAGGGGTAGATAAGGGTACTGAGTGGCAATCAACAGTGATATTTAGTGATATGACTGTAAAATGGTGGGAATAATAGTAGTGTCAGAACATATCTAACTTCAGGGTGATAATGAGAATCAAGATCAGCACAAAGCTGATTCCCATGAGGTGGAGGTCAGATACACCTCCCCTCTCCAACATTTTTACCAGTACTGTTACCAGCTTTCCCTCTCACAGCACTCTCTACTTCTCTTCTGGGTTTGATAATCCGTTCCAATGGCCACAGAGAACTCGCAGACCATACTTACAGCTAAGTGATTTATTGAGGAAGTCACGAGGTACAACTTGCGGTTAGGATCAACAGGCTACAATACGGGATCAGGATCAGAAAGCATGCAGGCAAAGTCTGGAAATCTCCCCTGAAGAGGAGAGTACATCCCTCCTTTCTTCAATAAAGGAAAGCTCTCTCAGCTCCTCTATGCCTTCCTTGCAAGCAAGCAGGCCCTTCTCTCTCTACTGCACATGCCCCATCTCAGCTGTGCAGGCCTCCTCTTGGCCCCCTTAGGTCAGGCTTCCTCTAGGCCCCCTGAGGACAGGCCTCCTTCTGGCCCCATCAGCACAGGCTCTTCTTGGCTGAGCTATGTGTCACCACCAACTATGCTGCACGCAGGGCCCCTTCTGGGCTTGTTGTCTTCAGTGTTACAGCCCTTGACCTGTGTTACAGCTCTTTTAGGAGGTTCCTTGCCTCATCTCTCTCTGCTACTTTTCTCTTCTTTCTTCCTTCTGCTTCTGACTGCCCACCTCTGTGGGGCTGGCTGCATATATAAGCAGACTCCTTATCAATTTTAAGGCATGCCCCTCCCACCAGGGCCACAAACTGACCAGTCCCCTCTCACTAGGCCACAGATACTTCATTTGCATAATAGGCTATAATCACTTCATTTGTGTAAGTATATTGACCAATACCTGCAAGGTGTATACCAATCATAGGGTAGGCTATATTCCAGGGCCAGACAAAAAGTATCAAACCACAAGTTGTTTACAGCTTACCCAGGAAATAGCAATCAACCTGGACAAAACTAACAAACACTTTGGACTAGAAAACTAGGGTAAAGGTAACTTCTCGTGGTTTAGGGAAAAGTCTCTCAAGCTGTTTTTCCAAAGAACCAAGGCAAAAGGCCACATAAAGAAATTCATTTCGCCAGTGAACCAGCAGAAATTGCATTGGGTGATATGTTTGCATGCGGAAATCAGGCAGTCACTTAAAGCAGAAAAATACCTTGGCAAAGCTTCAGAAGTGGAAATCAATTATTTTTGCCCAGGACCCATTCTCCATTCTTTTGGTAATAGACCAGTTGCTGTCAAGTCAGTTCCAACTCATGATGACCTCATGTGTGTCA